CAAACTGAATCAGATTTGCCTTAGAAACGATAGAAAAGTTATAGAAAGAAATGTAGGTGTCATAAAGAGGAAATTTCAACTCGGATTTTTTGAAAATAAGATCAGGGAACAGGACGATTAAAAGTGGGTATGCCTGGCCTTATGTTAACTGAGCCAAAAATTTCCACCGTTGCCAAGAAAATGGAATATCGAGGTGATACCAAATGAGAAGACAACACTATCCACCAGTCTGCCGACGCAACGCGACTCCAACATAAGAATAGACACAAGGATGGGCAAAATTGTCACAGAATTGTGGCATATCAGAAATTGAGTGGAGCTGTGCAGATGACGGTACGGGTAGACTGGCAATGGTATCATGGAATGCGTAAAAAGACGACGACTACCCTATACTAGACGAAATTAATCGGATTGAGGGTTGCCACGCCCTCAGGTCCATGCAGAACCAGCCAATGACACTTTCCGGTGGTATTTCTAGAATTCTAGTTCACAAAACCCTATTCGAGATGAGAACGAACAAAGCGTGTCTTAAAGAACTGCTCGTTAAGCGGGAAGTCAGCCTACTTGGCAAGGGTCGTAAGGTGAATGTTGGCAGATATAGCAACCAGGACTCCGTCAGGAGGCATCCACCTACGTCCGAGCAATTCGAAGTCGCTCATTAGTTTGCTTCTTGGACTTAATCTTCGCAAAAGGTCATGCATGTTCTGAGGTGAATACGCCTCAGAGGTTAAGCACTCTTGATAAGTGCAAAAATAACGCGCAGGAGGACTGGGTATGTAACTGACACTAAAGAGGCATTCGCCATCATATGCAGACCTGAAAATGCCCCTCTTCTGCCTGTAACTAAGGCCTTTTTAATGAGGCTGTGTATACAATAAAAAGCATACCCTCGAATTGATCCTGATCTGGAGAGTGTTGATAGGATTCGTAGATGATTTGGTTAAGACCTTCCTTCCATCCACCCCCTCTTATTCCGGTCTCTGCCTCCTCTCACGATACTTTCATGCGCAGAAGCCCCTACGACCTTTTGGATAGGCTAAGGGCTAGAAACATGCAGATGATGCGCCATAAATGTAGTCGTATTTGACGTTGCCTTGGCTCTGCAAATCTCACAGCAAAGTAACACTCTTTACTATTGGCTGCTTATAATTATAGAACGAATTGTCACTTTTGATAAGCACGACACAGTTAAGTGCTACGGAGCAAGGCAACAATCATGTCATTGAGCATTTAATTTGATTTTTAAAGTTGGATGAAAAGGGTTCTATGCTTGGCTCCAGTGGAATACTGCACAAAAGCCCAAACAACCAGCAAGTCCCATCTTCTCTACATCGTTGGCAGCTCAACTTTCTACTGTCTTAAGTGCCAAATGGCCAATGATACACCCTAACTAAATAAATATAGATAGTTCCTTTTACCGTTTGGAGCTTTGTTTTGTTAAACTGAACTAAGGCCAATACAGGCAAGGTATTCAGTTGCAAATACACCTTCATGGGCGCCATGAAAATGTGTCGAAAAACACGAACTAATGAAGCATAGTGTACAGTCTTCCTCGTCCTCAAACCTGCCTTTCTTGCCATGATCATTTTACCTCATCGAGTTAGTGCACGTTGGCAGCGCCCATGGAATGTACCAGTTGGATGAACAGGATTCTCGTCTGGTGTTTTCTGCACACCGGTGCGAGAAGAGCCCATGTAAATACACCCACACACTCACAAAGCCGACTACATTCAAATGTATAACAAGGTTAGTGTAAGCTGAAAGTCTTGGAATCGTCTGTGCTAGACAAACATGCTTTGTGTGGATTATGACTAGTGGAGCACACTCACGAATAGAATAGAGGAACATGGTAGGATGAAGCCGATTATCGATACAGGCATTATTAGGAAGAGTTGAAACAAGTTATTTTTTGGAAATGGCCTGAGCATAAAGGTTCTTGGAACACAAACTGAATTGGGAGTATACCAAGCGCCACCTGTGCCGCAATCTCCGCCATGTATTTTTTCACTTCGCCCTCTTCGGTACATCCATATTCATTGGTTGAGCAATCTGGTCGCATTGACGCTTCCTCAATTACCAGGCAACCCGGCAGAATTGTGGAGACTCTCGAAACGAAGCAAGACATGCAAAAAAATGTCAGCCCCGCGGACAGATGCATATGTTATTGTTTACCAAACTGATTTTGGCAACCATATTTATTTATCCTGTTCGTATATGCCTCAAAAGGACAGAATACTCTTCAAGAGACAGTTACTATCACCATTGCACTGAGAAAATTTAGCTTTCCAAATTGGCCTTAGTAGCCACGAAACAGATATGAAAAAACTTTGCTAAACGCTAAA